AGTGTAATAAGTAGGACTGAAAAAGCCTCAGAGGATAGGAGGACGAAAAAACAACTGTTCCTCAAACGTGCCAAAGTGTGCCCCAGCTCTGCACCTTTAGAGTCGCCATCTCTTCTTCAAACTCGCACCTGCACATGCCCACCTCAGGGTGCAAGTCACTGCTCCAAGAGCCCTTTACATGCCACCCTAAGATATGCACTCTTCCCTACTAATTTCTCTGAAGCTTACTTTGGTTTCTTTTTTTTTTTGGGGGGGGGCGGTTTCGCTCTAGGGCACGTGCGCTCACCAGACAGACAGACAGAGAGACAGAAAGCAAGAAATCACCCCCTGGGGGGATGGTCACGCCGCAATCCCTTCTCCTCTATTCTCCTCTTGGGATCTCGGGCATGCACGCACATGCACCCAGCATGAGTTTTAAGCCACCAGGTCCGAGATGCGAACCGCGGTCGACTACATGGGAGTCCAGCGACATAGCCATTACGCTAACTGCTGGTTCCCGAAGCTTACTTTGGTTTCTTAACAGCACTTAACAGCACTTAAATTCTATATGCTGTCTATTTGTTTTATTTGTCAATGCCTACAAAAATGTGATAAAGAAACAATATGTGCCAACACTTTCTTTTAAGAATTTGGACATTCTTAAAATGTCCCCACAGGGCAATTTATGGCCTTACTGACTGCAGGTTTCCCTTGGTGAGAATCTGCAATTCAGCATCTGGGAAGGCCCATCACCCACTGTCCCTGGCAGAGCCCCTTACTGCTGTTCACCCACCACAAAATTCCCACCATTCTCTGTTCCCACGTTTATAACCTAGTGTGTGGTTTTCTCATTAAGTATTTTCACCTTAACCTTGCTTCACAGAAAAACTGTGCTAATAGAATTGTTAATTATAATTCTTACCTTCCATTTTTTCATAATGAAGTCAAAGTATACCCTAAATAAGGCCAGGTCATCCCCAAAGTTCTCAAGAGAAATGAAAGCTGTGGGGCATTTTAGAGACAGTCTATCCGATCCCGTCACACACAGAAACCAAGATAAAAAGGTGTGGCGCGGCTGTGACATGGTCCAACGTGAACTCTCACCTCTGACTTCCAGCCCTTCATAAGATTACAGAAACATATTTGGTCAATAGCAAGGGCCTAGGAAAATAATAAAATGTCTGAATGAGGAGATACACTTGACTGCCTGGACTTCTGCCACCTGGTGACATACCGCCCTGCTCTGGACATCCTTACCCGTTGAGCCTGTGTCTCGTTTAGTGGCTCCCTGTGGAGAGCAGGCAGAGACAGAGAAGAATTTATTTTAGCAACTCTCTGGGGAATGCTTGCCTTAGTGTCTCTAGAAAGGGCACAAAAACTCCTATGCTTCGATTTACATTAATCGTCTGTTAATTGGTTTTTAACTTGCCAGTAAGTTGTCATACCACATCACTGAATCAAATAACAGGAAAACGAGAATAACCTCATAAGGTACATTTTGGGCTAATAATTAAAATACAGTTACCATATGATTTACATTTTTGATATAGTGAGAGTATCCCTCCTACTTAATTTTTGTCTGGGCAAAGAGGGCATGGCAAGTAGGCAATTGAGAGACGGGTACTTAGGAAGATCTATTAAACCTATAGGCAAGTAGGCAATTGATAGACACGTGTTTAGGAAGATTAAACCTATAGGCAGGCTAAAAGCCAAGAGTAAAGAATGGCAGAGCTTCTCAGTGGCATCACTGTGGACTAACAATACTGAGTGCGGTTAGCTTCCAACAAATTGAGCGAGAATGGAAAAAAGGTGGGGTAAAATTACTATTAAAAATATGTTTCAGTAGGAAAAAAGCTATCAAATATTTTTTGACTGCTTACCCACATTTCAAAGGTTTCTGCCTTCTAGAGCTGAGAGACCATTTACATTGTTGCAAAAGATACTTTTTAACATCTGGGAACCAGCAGTTAGCGTAATGGCTATGTTGCTGGACTCCCACGTAGTCGACCGCGGTTCACGTCCTGGACCCGGTGGCTTAAAACTCACGACGGGCACGTGTGCGTGCGTGCCCAAGATCCTGAGAGGAGAATGGAGGAGAAGGGATTGCGGCGTGACCATCCCCCCTGAGGGGTGATTTCTCGCTTTCTGTCTCTATGTCTCTCTCTGTCTGTCTGGCCAATGCATGCGCCCTATAGTGAAAATCTCTCAAAAAAAAAAAAAAAAAGATACTTTCTAACATCTAACATCTAAAACAAAGAATTCATTCTACTAACATATTTCCAGTGCCTACAACTGCAGGTACTTTTCTAAGTGCCAGGGACATAGCAACAAATAAGCCCCAAAGAATTTATGCTCTTAGTGGATACAAAGAAACAAGATAAATTAATAACTAAGTATTTCATCAGTCTAGTAAGAACTACTTTTATAGTATGATTAGTGATATGGAGAAAAATAAAGCTGGGAAAGGAAACAAGATACAAATAATTATTTTGTATTCATTGCAGGTAGCCTGACTGTTTTATGATATATCTTATAATTTAACAAGACTCTTCTTGGGACCAGCAGTAAGCGTAATGGCTATGTCGCTGGACTCCCATGTAGTCGACCACGGTTTGCTTCCTGGACCCGGTGGCTTAAAACTCATTCCGGGCATGTGTGCATGCGTGCCCAAGATCCCAAGAGGAGAATGGAGAGGGGATTGGGGCGTGGCCATACCCCCTGGGGGATGATTTCTCACCTTCTCTGTCTGTCTGTCTGTCTGGCAAGCGCTCGCCTTCTATAGCAAAAACCTCTCAAAAACAAACAAACAAAAACAACTCTTCTTTATAGTCAATATGCCCTGTATAAAATAGAGCATAGCCTTAAATATTTCTTGAAAGTTAATTATTAGTATATCTCCAATCTTAAGAGTGTATAATTAACGGGACCAGCAGTTAGCATAATGGCTATGGCACTGGACTCCCATGTAGTCGACCGTGGTTTGAGTCCCAGACTCGGTGGCTAAAACTCACGCCGAGCGCGTCTGCGTGCGTGCCCAAGGTCCCAAGACAAGAATGGAGGAGAAGGGACTGCGGCATGGCCATCCCTCCGAGGGGTGATTTCTCACTTTCTGTCTCTCTGGCGAGCGCACGTGTCCTATAGCAAAAACCTTTATAAAGAGTGAATTATTAACTGTATTTATTACTTTTTTGATGACAAATTCTTGGTCGAGAATATAATCTGGGGTGTCGGCAGTAGCTGCAGTGAAAAGAATTTGTGCAATGTCTCACGTCGTTTTGTTGGTACATCCTACTAAGAGACCCCAGGCATAACTTATGAATGTGAAACTGTGAATGAATGCATAAAAGGTATCTGTGAAACGTAGGAAGAACATCTGAGGAAAACAAATGCCAACAGTCCCTCTGTCACATACGATATCAGTCTGTTGTTTGATTTTACCAGAGATCTGGCAGACCCTGACTGTCTTGTTTACCAAGTGCATACCTAGACAGGCCAGCCTTATAACACAAAGATCTCCATGCTCCCTCCTCAGCAGGCTCAACAGACCAGGAAATAAATGCTCAGAAGCACTGGGCAAAAGCGAGTGCACTGCAACACAGGGGTGTGTAGCCTGCTGTAGTGGAAGCTGTGCATTAGAGCACCTATTACAATTTTGTTACACTCGAGCCCAAAAGTATCAGATGAAATGTTAAGATCTTGTTCAATCTGAAACCCCTACTGCCCCTTTTATTATTCTTTGGGGTTTTTTCACTCAAACGTTTTTATGATGACTTAGATGTAAGCTGCTCTTTGTCCATTAACACTGGTTCCAATTCTTTGAACTGTTTGTATCTGCTTTATAACATTCGCTGTATTTATCCTTCAAGATGGAGTGGGGGGGTGGTGGTACAGTTTAATTATGTTCTCAAGATAAAGTCTTAGTGAAAAATACTCTTGTTTAAAAAAATATATAATCTATAATGAATTAACACCAGGACTTTTAGCAAACACAATGTACTTTTGTATACTACTCTATGAAGTGGTTTCGAGGAAGCAAAGTGTTGTGTTTTGTCTTATTTTAAAATGCAATACTAAATTTGAGGCTTTCTAATAGTGGATCAAGAATTTCAGGTGACAGTGACTTCAATTCTAAAAAACAGAACTGGGTAGGTACACTATTTACCCTATCCCAAATATATAATATATAGCCTAAATAAAATAGAAATTATTTTTGTCATTTTTATACTTATTAAGATCTAACAATGCTTGACTTTGTTTCTCTGTATAATTTCAAATACACACACACACACACAAACAAAAACCTAACACTTGGGGAAAAGCCCATTTCCAATTTTAAAAAATTAATTTTGTAAGCCAAAATGTATATAAACTATTATATTTTATTATACTTGGACTGTATAGCCCTTCAATTTTCATAAGGCGTATAGGGGCCAGCAGGTGGCATGGTGGTTAAGGCACCAGACTCCCACACGGCTGATTGCAGTTCAAGTCCTAAACCTGGCAGCTTACTCTTTCTCTTTTGCTCTCTCTGTCTCTCTCTGGTCAAATTAAAAATAAATAAGTAAATTAAATAAAAATTTAAAAGAATTATTTATTTAATTTCATTTGCTAGTATTACTTTTCAATTTGACCAGAGAGAGAGAGGGATCCCTGAAAATGAAAGGGAAAGTGAGAAAACAAGCCACCAGGTCTGGGACTCAAACTGCAGTCGGCCACATGGGAATCCAGCACCTTTAACCACTATGCCACCTGTCAGCCCCAAAATTAAATTATTATTAAAAAGAAGGTGGCTTGTGAAGGACCAGCAGGAGAAATGGTGGTTAAGATGCTAGACTCTCACATGGCCAACAGAGGTTCAAACCATGAACTTGGAGGCTTGCTTTCTCATTTTTCCTCTCTCACTCTGTTTCTCTTTGGTGAATTAAAATAAAATAATAAATAAAAAGTAAGTAATTCTTTAAAAAAAAAAAAAAAAAGCTTACGAAATTTAAACTGATAATTTCATTTTTTAAAAAGCTTACCTTGAGGCTGGTATGAGAACGTGGTTGACTCAATTCCTGAAATTTCCATTGCTCCGATCCAGGGGTCTCTCCTCCTTTCTGAGTGTCAGGTGTAAGCAGTCCATCTCCAGCAGGTAATGGGAAAATCCCTAATGATATAGGACGTTCTTTTCTACTTGGAGAAGAAAGGAAAAAGTAAGCATTCTTTTTTTTTTTAGTTTATATTTATCATGACTGTAAGTAACACACCTGGACGTCACTACTCGAGAATCATCACTCCCAAATAATACTGTTTGTTCACCTAAATAAGTAGATTTACCAAAGAGAAAGGAGAGTATCAGAAGTTTAAGCTAGTACCCAAGAAATAAGAAAAGTAGTAACAAATGGGTTAGGAAATCCTGTAAGTAATGAGTTCCTCTACCAGGAAGCAGGCAGGGAGATTCACACTTAGGTTAGTCCTAGAGAAACTTGCAGCCTCCTACTTTGGAAAGTGAACCTAGCCCCTGTTCCTGGACTTCCCAAATCCTCGCACTAGTCCCTGGATATTTACCGCAGCCTTTTCAAAGTACATCTCTTTACTCCAGAGGTAAATCAACATAGTGTCTAAATCAGGACTACTGATCAGCTGGTAAAAAGAACTGAAAAGATTTTTATCCACCCTAAAGTATAATAGGAAAACTCTATTTTGCTACAGAACCTCTTTATATGAGTTCCATTCAAGCGCATGAGAAAAAAATACTGCTGGTTTTTTCCAAACAAGGATGCCAAAAATTCTATAAAAGACTGTTGAATTTCCAATACTTTGTGAGAACCTTCAATGAATAAGAGTTACGATTTTAATAATAATAGAATTTCAACAAGAGAAACATCCTTTGTTGATGCACAGAAGATTCCAGATTGCTTTTAGAGAGTGGAAACAAGCCTACCAACAGATCGTCCCGGGTCATTAACTCAAAAGTGTGGAAACTGGAAAGAAATCGGATACTTAAAGGTTTGGTGCCTCCTGCAATTCATACCTCTAATAGTAACAAAGTAAGTTATAAGAAAAATAAGGGGGTTATAAATAAAAGTGGAAAATATTGCTTTGCTAAATAAGTCTTTTATTATGTAAGTTCATTTTTATACCAAGAAACTTAAGCCACTTTTGAAATGTGTCTGCAGTTAACACAAAGGGTGTGTATGCTCCCATTCCTATCAAAAAGGATTAGTAAAGCTGTCACAATCCCTTCTTCGAGATTAGGTAAAGAAAAGGGTTGAGAGCTTGTGTTCTATTATCCACATTGTATGCACAAGGAAATAAAAATTTAAAAACAGGAACTTTTCTCTATCAGAATTCATTCATCATCATTTCTCATGCTTGGAATATGATTTCCTCTCTGATTTGGGAGAAAAATTCAAATGCAAGTGGGCACCACAATAAAAGACTAGTTTTTGTTCTGTTTTGTTTTCTTTTGTTATAGTGAGAATACCCTCACTGGAGAAAGACAGAGAGGGGTGAGGGTGATGGCCACATGGCAATCTTCTCTCCTTTCTCCTCAGGATTTAGGGCATCCACACACACACCCTGCATGGTTTTTAGGATACCAGGTCTGGTACTTGAACAACACAGCCAGCCATGTGGGATCCAGCTGCCTTAACTAACACCCACTGGCTGGCCAAGCCTAATCTGTGATTATGAGCTGCCAAAACAACCAAATGACAAAGAGAACTAGTTAATTATTCTGTCATACCAGTTATTTCCAAATACTGGTCAGCAACAAAGTTTACAGAGTTTTGCTAGTTTCCATGGCAAAAAAAGAGGCAATCTTTATGACCTCCCTGGTGGACACCTGCCACACGCAGTGCACATACACGTGTCCGGGTAACAGAGCCTGCTCCTTTCTGAGAATTTTAAACTACATCCTTTCTGCTTCTTTGATCTTAAAATGCCAGACTTCCATCAGATGTGGAGACTGTGACTAGCAGCTAGACTTTTTTCTATGTCCACAATGACAAAATAAAGTTATCAACCTAATGTTTACCCCCCCCCCCAATTTGTACGTGGTGGAACATAGCTGGGGAACTAAAAATCCAAGGTCTAAGAGCTACTAGTTGACTTCTAGTTATTTTCTGACATACAATAATGACTTAAGCAAAAGTGATTGGGCATTTAATAGATGGAAATCTCTCTACTCAAGAAAGCAAAGACAACCAGGAAGATAATACACACTTTACACAAATCTATCGCAATGCTATCAGAGATCAAAATGCAAGAGTCACTAGAATGATCTTCCTGTATCAATGACAACCCATTCATTTTCACATACATCAAATGATTAGGAGGAATCTTCCATAAATGCCAGTTTTACTTTCCTAGTTCAGTCAGCTAAATCCATAATCCAAAATATAGAATGTTCACCTCTTTATTGTGCTTTTATCACTCAGAAACTGCTCTATAGGCAAGGGACTTCTCTTCAGAGACTGTTAGCTATCTGTCAAGAGGGTACTCTGGGTTACATTGCTCTAACTCTGGAATAATATTACTATATATTCCTCTTTTTTCTTATTTTACTGATAAATTTATATAAAAGTTGGGCAGGCATGTAATTACTCAAAATCATTAGAATCCTGCTTTCAAAAAGATACCCTGAAAGCTAAACATTAGTCTTGTACTATGCTGGTGTGCACCTTTGGTAGTCTAGGTATTAAATGCTTCAATTGAACTTACAGAAGAAAAGAAACCCAAGGATGGGACATGTGGGAAAAAATCATGTGGCAGATTAAACCCCCAGATCAAAACATCTGCTATTACTGCTCAGAAACAAAGCTATCATCAACTACCAGAACCCTTACCTTACTATATATTTCTCTCTCTCTCTCTCTCTCTCTCTCTCTCTCTCTCACTTATTAGGTTTTTGCCATGGGGTGTGTGTGCTTACTGGAGACAGAGAGAGAGAAAGAGAGAGAGAGAGAGAGAAAAGGAAGTGAAAAATCACCTCGTAGGGGAGAAGGCCACACAGCAATTCCTTCTCCTGTATTCTCCTCTCGGAATTTTGGGCACGCACGCACATATACCTGGCTTGATTTTTAAGCAGCCAGGTCCAGGACTCAAATCACTGTTGGTCATGTGGGAGTCCAACACCTTTAACTTCCTTGCCACCTATATTCTTTTATTTTTATAACATTAGTTCTATATATCCATTTTTGAATTGGTAATTTACATGTTAGCTTACATACATAAGTAATTTTGCAAGTAACATTTTTGAAAGAGCTTTTTGACATATTCACACTTAATATACCTATTGATAATTAATAAAATCTGCTTTATATATAACAGAGACCAAAAAATAAAAATCGAGTTACATTTATTAAACACCCACCATGTGGCAGCTACTGAGCCAGAGGATTTATTTGCATTATCTCACTTAATCCTTACAAGGAAATAGGAATTCTTTTCCCAGTTTTTATGGTAGGAAAAGTGATGCTCAGAAACTTTAGGCGCTAGTAATTGGCCGAATAGGGATTGCAACTTAGCTCTACGCAACTCAAGGCCATAAGCTTTCCTTGAAGCTGCCTACCTGGAACTACCTACTTTTGGACAATTTCATATTGAAGACTTTGATATCTTTATTCGACCAGATCGATTTCAACGTTTCTGTCACAAAACTTTTAAAATGTAATAAGGTATTTTATCAATAAAACAGCTGGTACTAAAAAAGTTCTGCTAAAAATGGAGTACACGTGAGTATGAAAATTACTTACTTATGTAATTTACCATATATCTGACAACAATAATTAAATACAAAAGAATCATTTCACTTGACTTTTAAACCACCCAGTGGGTTAAGTATCTTCAGAAGAGGAAACTCAGGCAGAGAGATTAAGAAACTCGCCAAAGGTCCTCTGGCTCCCATGAGGCAAAGCACTTGCACCAGGCAGTCTGGCCCCACAGCCTCTCACCCTCCTGCACAGCACCCAATCCTGAGAAGGCCCCTTAACATTAGCTTCATTTTAATATTTTACATATTCTTGAGTTCAGGTGTTTTCAATTTTCTCAAAGCCTAAATACAATATATGCATATAAAAATCTTTTACATATTAAAATATATACACGTATAATAATATACTGCTTCCAATTTTGATAAATCAAAAAAGAAAATAATAATGAACAAGTACCTAGTTTTAGACCATGATTAAAATTTTAATTTCTGGGCCTTAAACTAATATTGAACATAAACAGACTGACCTATAAATACAAAGAAACACACTAGGGAATTTACTTTTAAATTCTCCTTAGTTTCTCTAAGTCAACAATTAGGATTTGCATATTTTTGTAAACATTTAAATAAAAAATATACGTGTACTATGACCTTTCACTGAAAATCAAGCATAAATCTGAACAAATCAGATACTTATTGTTTGATAAGTTAGAAAACTAAAGAAACCAAAACCTGAAACCTCTAAGAAGTGGAGCTGAGTACAAGAGGAGTGAGCAGCAGTCAAGCTGACGAGATTAATGACTACCCCTATAAGCAGGCATGGACATTTGTCACCCAAGACTACAAAGAGAAGAAAGGGCGACATCCAACCAAACAATACTGAATAGGCTTTGTTAAGGCTTTCACAACTTCAATGTGTAAGGAATGGGGAAAATGCATTCCCTGACCTAAAAGGTTTAAATAATTTTACTTTAAAATATATTTTGTTTCAGGAGAAAATATTTAAATTGTCAGTTTCCTTAAGTTGTTATTAAAAATTGCAAAATTGATGCCTGACTCTCCATCAGTCAAAGGATAACTGAACAAAATAAACCTATGGCCTGTGTCTAATCGACTACAAATCCTGGCATAAAAGATATTTGCCCCTAAATGCTCAGAAGCTAAAGGCAGAGACTGTACAAACTTAGACCTGGCGCTCTACTCTTTACTCGGAGCAGTCTGCCTGAAACAAGACCACACTGACCTTGTACTTGTGTATGAGGTACAGTATGAAAATCCTTTTCTTTGGTCGGTACTTTCCAATTACAAAGCCGTATTCCTAAATGACAGTCTATAAATTACCACAAATAAAAATAGAAATCCTAGCTTCAGGCCATTTTCCATTGTTCCAAGCTGCAACAGAAATGGTTACAAAGCAGACCCGTGGAGCTAAAAATTTAAGAAAAAGCAGCTAAGCAGGGGCTTCCGAGAGAGACTGGAGTACCTGAGTATCCTTGGTAGGTTCTGCGTCAGAGCTGGCACACCGGTAGAAATAGAAAAGTGCACAAGCAGCAAAACAGAGAGAGATACTAAGATAGCAGAATTAATGACCACCGCCCCGCCAACAAAGCCAAACACAAACAGCAGCATGCATCCAGGACTCATGGCGCTGTGCTGGCATGGTGAAACACCCGAACCAGGAGGCCTACACGGGGGCCAAAGGGGTATCTTTGTAGTGAGGATCTGTCATTCAGCTGCTGCCACAAAAACAATGCCATCAGCAGCAGCTTTCCACTCCATCCTGCAGCAGCTCCCAAGCGATGACGTCATTCCGCTCTCCCCACCTCATAACCATAGAGCTGCTGCTCCTCGCATTTATGCAGCAACCCAGAGCAACAGCCAGCCTATTAACTGTTCCCCCCTCCACTGAGAGTCCTGGCTCAGCTCATTGGCTACAATGCTTAGAGATCTACATAATTTATTCACACTCCTACATCAAACAGGGCTAGCTAACCCTTTCAAACTCTCCTCTCTGTAACCAAAAGGACTTTAAACTAATTATACGGGAGTAATAACAAATTTCAGCATTCCCACAGTTAGAAAATTTTAATCTCCATCAAGTCTCAGAAAACAATCAAAATGCCTGATATGCTGCTTCTACAGCATGACTCATAATTTACTTTTAATAGTGAAGGGTGTTTCTATTTTTCTACACTATTCTCTCCTATAGCATTCCAACCACAGTGGAGAGCTTTGTGAATCAGCCTAGCTATTGTTCCAGGATTAAAGAATAGAGAAAAACAGAACCGAAGAGACAGATTATTTATTTCACTTTTTCTCTAGCCGAAATGTATAACAAAGCTTACCTAATTCTACTGTGCGCTGCAGATTCTAGTTGATCACTGCCTGAGAGCTGATGAAGTTTTGTCCTTTCTAAGTGTTCCATATAATTATGGATCATCTATTTTTAAAGAGAAAAAAGTACACAAAATTTTAAGTTGATACCTGGAATAAAAACAATGTCATAACAAGAGAAACATTTTTATACAATTTTCTTATCAGACAAATCCAATTCCATATAAAAAAATACTAAAAAAAAATTCTTTTGGCAAGGAATAAGGAAATTTTTACATCTAAATAAGCTAGTGATGCCCATAAAGGTAGTCATTATCTTACTTAGCACAGCAAAAAACCTTTTATGATATACAACGATATTTTTTTTTTTTTTGAGAGAGAGATTTTTGCTATAGAGCATGTGCACTCGCCAGAAAGACAGAGACAGAAAGCGAGAAATCATGCCCCAGGGGGGATGGCCATGCTGCAATCCCTTCTCCTCCATCCTCCTCTTGGGATCTCGGGCGCACGCATGCACACATGCTTGGCATGAGTTTAAGCCACCAGGTCCGGGACTCGAACTGCAGTCAATTACATGGGAGTCCAGTAACATGGCCATTACTCCAACTGCTGGTCCCAATATACGATGCTATTGGGACTGGCAGGTGGCCTGGTGGTTAAGGACGCTGGACTCTCACATGGCTGACCATGGTTTGTGTGCCGAACCTGGTAGCTTGCTTTCTTACTGTCCCCCCACCCACACACACACACTCTCTGGTCAAATTAAAATAAATAAACAAACAAATACAGTTCAATAAAATAATTATTTAAAAAATATGATGCTATTAAATAAAAAATCAAAATAAACAACACAAATTAGTGTGTGTGTGTTGTGTGTGTGCGTGTGTGTGTATATATATCTATATATACACATACACATACATACATATATATATGGGGGGGGGTGACAAGAGACCACTGGTTAATAATAGATGGTATGTAAGAAATCCATTCACTGGGACCAACAGATGGCATAATGGTTATGTTGCTGGACTCCCATATAGTCAACCACAGTTCAAGTCCCAGAACTGGTGGCTTAAACTCATGCATATGTGCCCCAAATTCCAGGTGAATGGAGGAGAAGGGATTGTGGCACGGCCAACCCCACTGGGAGGTAATTGTTTTGCTTTCAGTCTCTCTGTCTCTCCAGCAAGTGTATGTGCCCTATAGCTAAAATTTCTCTCCTTAAAAAAAAAAGAAAAAGGGAGGGGGGCCAGCAAATGGTGCTGGACTTCCACGTAGTCAACCGTGGTTCAAGTCCTAGACCCGATAGCTTAAACTCACGCCAGGCGCATGTCCAAACATGTCCGATATCCCAAGAGGAGAATGGAGGAAAAGAGATTGCGTGGCCATCCCCCTCCCCAGGGGAGGGGGGCAGTTTCTCGCTTTATGTCTTTCTATTTCTCCCTGTTTCTCTGGCAAGTGCATGCACACTAAAGCAAAAATATCTCTCTTTCACTAAAATCCATTCACTAAGAAACCATATCCTTGTATGTTGATATCTTTCTTTTTAAAAGAAATGAGCAGAATAAAGATCATCTTTAATTAAGCTAAGTAAATACCAAGATATTTATTTGTTTCTGTAGATTTATTAATGGTTAGGAAAAAATGCCAAAATACTGATTTACTGTGAATTTTATTGCTATTTTAATATAGTAATCTATAATAACAGCAACATATTAATATTTTTAAGAAACAAGTGTCATCGGGGGCCAGCAAGTGTCATGGAGGTTAAGGTGACTGGATCCCAGGTGGGGGACTAAATGGTTTGAATCCCAGACCCTGAGACTTGGAAAACACACCAGATGTATAGGCATGCCTGCCCAAAGTCTTGAGAAGAGAATGGAGACACAGGGATTGTGGCATGGCCATCCCCCACCTGGGGGGGAGTGATTTCTCACTTTCCCTCTCTCTGTTTCTCTCTTTCTAGCAAGCACATATGCCCGATAGTAAAAAACTAAAAAAAACAAAATATAAATTAAAAAAATAGAATACTCTGATTTTGAATCTGAGACAAGGAACCATATGATAGATGACCTAAATATGGAAGTGAAAACAAAGACTACCTTGAAATACAAAGACTACCTTGAAATTCTGTGGTCCTACTTGATTCTTGATAATCTACAGTTTCACTTTTAAGAATCCTAAATCTAGAATTAAGACACTGGGGCTGGTGGTGGCACAGTGATAAAACCCAAGGCTGATTGATCTGGGAAAGTTCTGAGTTTGTATCCAGAGACCTCACCAAGTATCCTGGTCATTCACATTCCCATGATCCAGGGCTTGGTAAAGCTGGTGTTAGATTGTGGTATCAAGAGCCTACTGGGGAAACTGGCAGATTGGCGTAGTGGTTAAGGTGCTGGATTCCCACATGGCTGACCACAGTTCAAATCCCGGATCTGGTGGCTTGCATTGTCACTTTCCCCCTCTCTCTCTGTCTCTTTCTGGCCAAATTAAAAAGATAATAATAACAATGATAAATAGAATTAAAAAAAATTTTTTTTTAATTTTAAAAAGCCTATTCTCTCATGAAAGAAGTGAACTTAGGGATGGGAGACAGGAAAAAAAATTCAATCGAAATGGTTTTTTGTTGTTGTTGTTATTTTTTGTTATGTTTTAGAGATTTTGCTATAGGGTGCATGCGCTTGCCAGAGAGACAGAGACAGAAATCGAGAAATCACCCCCGGTGTGTGTGTTGGGCGGTGTGGGATGGTAATGTCACAATCCCTTCTCCTCCATTCTCCCTTGGACTTTTGGGCACACGAGCACATGTGCCCAGCATGAGTCTTTTTTTAAGTCACTGGGTCCAGGACTTGAACCACAGTTGATTATGTGGGAGTCCAGTGACATAACCATTATGCCATCTGCTGGTGCCTCCATCAAAATTTTAAAAATAAATAAATAAAAACCGTAACTACGAATATTAACATGATATGAACGAGAAAAAATAAATTTTAGGGGCCAGCAATTAACGTAATAGCTGTCGCTGGACTCCCATGTAGTTGACCACGGTTTGAGTCTGGGACCCGGTGACTTAAAACTCACGCCGGGCACATGTGCGTGTGTGCCCAAGATCCCGAGAGGAGAATGGAGGAGAAGGGACTGTGGCATGGCCATCCCCCAGGGGGTGATTTCTTGCTTTCTGTCTTTCTATCTCTGTCTGTCTGGCAAGCGCACGCACCCTATAGCAAAACCTCTCCAAAAAAAAAAATAAATAAATAAATTTTAAAAAACAGGAAATAGTATGTTAGTATTTTAAATGCTGTAAATATTTTGAGGCAAGAAAAGGTAAATGTCTTGCTTGAGATTATTCCTTGAATTCTTAACACAGTATGAAACAGCTTTGGAAGATGCTAAATTTTAGCTGCGTTAAGAAAGCTTCCAGAGGGACCAGCAGTTAGCATAATGGCTACGCCGCTGAACTCCCACGTAGTCGACCATGGTTTGAGTCCCGGATCCGGCGGCTTAAACTCACGCCAGGCACATGTGCGTGTGTGCCCAAGATCCTGAGAGGAGAATGGAGGAGGGATTGCGGTGTGGCCATCCCCCCGGGGGTTGATTTCTCGCTTTCTATCTCTTTGTCTCTCTCTGTCTTTCTGGCGAGCGCATGCGTCCTATAAAAACCTCTCCAAAAAGAAAAAAAGAAAAAGAAAGCTTCCAGGGACCAGCAGCTGGAGTACTGGCTATGTCGCTGGACTCCCTTGTCGTCAACCACGGCTCGAGTCCCGGACCAGGTGGCTTAATATGTGTGCGTACCCAGGATCCCGAGAGGAGAATGGAGGAAAAAGAGATTGTGGTGTGGCCATCTCCCTGAGGGGTGATTTCTCGCTTTCTGTCTCTCTGTCTCTTTTTGGTGAGCACACACGTCCTATAGCAAAAACCTCTCCAAAAAAAAGATAGCTTTCAATCTTACCATAAGTCAAAATATGCACTGTAACATATTAAATGACTATTAAAAGCAAATTTAAGTAAATTTTGAAATTTTAACTTTTTAAAAAGCATGCTTTTGCTGTGAAATTTTACTTTGAACTTATAAAAGTTAAGAAATGCAAGTTGGGATGGGAACCAGCAGTTAGCATAATGGCTATGTCGCTGGACTCCCACGTAGTCGACCGCGGTTCGTGTCCCGGACCCGGTGGCTTAAAACTCACGCCGGGCGCGTGTGCGTGCGTGCCCAAGATCCCGAGAGGAGAATGGAGGAGAAGGGATTGCGGCGTGACCATCCCCCCTGGGGGGTCTCGCTTTCTGTCTCTATGTCTCTCTCTGTCTGGCTGGCGAGAGCATGCGCCCTATAGTGAAAACTTCTCCAAAAAAAAAGAGTGCCAAGGATCCCGAGAGGAGAATGGAGGAGAAGGGATTGCAGCATGGCCATCTCCCCTTGGGGGATGATTTTTTTGCTTTCTGTCTCTCTCTCTCTGTCTTTCCGGGGAGCGCACGCACCCTATAGCAAAAACCTCTCAAAAAAAAGGAAAAGAAAGAAAGAAAAAAAAAGAAATGTAAGTTGGGAACTGGCTCTGTGGCAGGGCAGTAATGAACTACTCAAGAGAAGCCAGACCCCACATGGTGGCAGTTGTTTGAATCCATAGTCCAGTCTACCCAAAACATGATGCGCAAACATCTGAGTGCCCAAGGTCCTACGGGCTGGAGGACTGCAGGAAAGGATCACGGAATGACTAGAACCCGTGGAGGGTGCAACTACATCCCTCTCTCTGTTTCTTTCTCTCTCTCTCTCTCTCTCTCTCTCTCACACACACACACACACACACACACACACACACATCCGCATGAGCACACGTACTCTATCAGCTTTATACTATTTTTTTTGTTTGTTTTGGCTATACGTAGTGCGCATGCACTCACTGGAGAGAGACAGAGAGAAGGAAAGTAAGAAATCATTCCCCCAGAGGACAGCCACCTCTCAATCCCTTCTCCTCTATTCTCCTCTAGGGATTTTGGACACACATGCGCATACACCGTGGATGTGTTTTTCAAGCCATCTAGCCTAGGACTCAAACAATAAAATAGCAACTACCGTTTATTGGGTCGTAGTAAGTTGGCCAGTGCATT